TGTTTAGCCTGCATCGGAGGGATGAAAAGGCGTAGTAGGCCCAGGCTAACATCGACCGGGTTCAGTCCCTGGGCCATAGTTTTGATGGTGATCCCTTTTCTCAAAATGTGCTATAGAGTTCGCCAGAGAGAGTTTAACAATGATCTAAGCTGACTTGTTTACTTGCTTTATCCGTTGTTTTTAGCTTAAACAAAATATCGAACTATCTCATCGGAGTTGTTAATCTTATCGCGTATGCAGTATTGCTTTTTACTCTTATCAAGAGGAAGATGTTATCATTTTCACGCAGCCATGAGATTAAAATGACGTTGCAGGTGAGTACAAAAACTTCGAAAACAAAAGCTTGCCTTTGCGACGTTGTCACCTATTCCTAGAGCTTTGCTTATGACCATTTTATCAAAAAACGATTAACGTTCAGCGATCTAATTGTAGGTTGCATACTTATACTTAAATATTCATAATTGTTTTGAATAAAAGCAGAGGGTTAATTTTGAATTGAGCCGAGTTTCCTGAAGCATCGAAATACGCAGTTCTACAGAAACTTCCGCACTCCTGACATTTTGCACTTTGAACAGGAGAAATACCTATCTGTTTATACCCAGAGAACGATCAGGAGCTTCCAGACCACCGAGCTCGTCCTGGGCCTTATTGCAAAGGCCTGAAGGCATTTCAGTTATTGAGAGAGAAGTTCCTGCTCGCCTCTCGGTCTTCTATACACAACCCTTGGTCAACAACCAAAAACTATGATGAATTCACAATTTAAGGTATCACTCATGATGATAGCAGAAATGATATTCTTTTGTTATTGGGAATTCGCCAACGTGCATGGATACGGTGCATGGGATCTAGTAATAGCCGAAATCTCGGTTTTATTGTTTTTCGACGTACTTGTACTTCCATACATGATTCTCAATCGGTACGTGAATTTGTCGCACTTATTTACTTCAGTGCTTTATAATGTCATCAAAACAGCTTTTCCTTATGTCAATGTCATCTTTCTGTTCCAGAAGTTTTCATGCCGAGATGAAGCGCTTATTCAAACCATGTGACAGGAAAGGTACCTTCCATCTCAAAAAAGTAAATTCGTTGCTCAGGAAGAATAGCTGTAGAATGTCTTTGGAATGAAGGGGTCTTGATATCAGTTTTCTTGTGAAGTTCTTTGAGAATTTCAGGGGAACGAGTCCGACAACTACGTATGAGCGTGGTGACGTCGGCAACGTGATATCCTACCGCTCTTCTGCAACTGATGTTCTGAATAACTCCTTAGTTCAAGTGTCGGAAATCTCTCACTTACACTTTACTCAGCCCTTCTCTCTTTTTTCCAACCTTCTTTCTTATAAGTTGCGTTTACTTTCCATGTCTCGCTTGCTTCAATTTTTGTCGTTAATGACGGATACGATTTTTGTCGTGTTTTAGTTAAAAATCTTTTTCTCGTCTTGTACTGTGTCTACTTTATCAACTCACAAAGTGCTCTACATACTGGTTGTAGTCTTGGCTCTTCGGAACAGCAGGAAGTCTGTGGCAAAACGTTTGAGTGCCCTTCACCAGTTCTGTTTCATATTAACTTGTGTTGTAAGGAAAATATGGTTATTCATTTACCATATATCGTGTTCATTTTCATCCTAGGAATGCAGAATGTTCAGTAGATTCGTAACCTTAATCAATCCTACTATAAAGAGTTTGAAAAATTGGCGCTGAAAAAAAATAAAGAAAACAAAAAGTTTTGAGACAAGCCAAAAAGGTAAAGGATAGTGTCTGGAATTCCAATTAGAAACAATAGCTCTTCACTGGGTTATGAAGTATACAGAGTTGCTTACTCTGGTTTTTTTACGGAATGAAAAGGAAGTCCTCGAATAGTAAAGCATCGGTCAGGCTGTGTTGGGCGAAGCCCACTACAAACCGTTCACGAGATAGATTCCCGATTGAAGTTCGTCTCTTGGAGGCGTAAGATTGACTTTATTTTCCATTTGTTATCTTTTGATATATTATAGTATTTTACTTAATTTGTTTACTAGTTGCTTTTACTTGTTTTTTATTTTCGAAGATCTGAACCATTGCTAAGAGAAGTTAAAGGAGACTTAGATATTTAGATCAGATGCATATTTTAATTATCGGTCATATGAGTCGAGTTACAAGAGGCGATGCTTTTCCGCATGTTCTGGTACTCGTTCTATGCATTTTTGTGTAAACAGGCACTCAAGTACTTAATTGATGCAAAATTTACCTTTGTCTCCGGGAAAATGCTCTTGGGAATAGACATCTCATTTCGGTGTAGGCAGTAATGACCATATAAGGTTGTCAAGCTATTCTGACGGAAAAGCGCTTAGCTGACTACGGTATGTTTCTACTTTTGATATTGTCAAATATGACTTTTGAATTTCTTCGCAGGTCTTCGTTTCGAATGTCTCACTACTCAAGAGCCTCTACGACCCCAAAAAAATGTAGAGGGTTGCTAAAGTGGCTGACCAACTTAAAGGCACAGTTCACGTTAATTTTGGGGTATCCGGTTTTTTGGCGAAATTTGACAAAAAATGTTAGATACGGCTTACAATAGTACAATGGTAAAAGAGAAAACGCGAAAAAAGATGAATATATAGAAATAGAGCGCCACAAAAAACAAGGGAAAAGTGGGGTCGGACGGGCTAAATGGCGAAAAAACGGCGATAAGGGATTTTTCGGGCGAGTCAGACAAACGCGACGCAGTGTCTGCCATTGCACACAACACACCAACAGCTGATTTTGGCTTATTCATTAAAACTAATTCTCCTACCGCTATTAATCTGATTTATTGCAAAATCAATTTCGACCTTTTAGCGACGGCTGAGAAAAATTAATTAGAATAGAAAAGCGTAGAATATAGTCGAACACTAGAAAAACAGCCTAATAGTAGTCCCAATACGAGGCGGTCGACCAGCTGACCGTCTGTGGGCAATTTGCCAACCAGCCTATCGATTTTTCACTAATGTTGCTCCAATGCGAAAGTGGTGAAGGACAATTTGAACTCGTAGTCACCCTAGCCAGGGGCGGAGACCTGACGTCCCCCACTCTTCCT